TTTAGATTAGACCTTGATGATTACAGCTTTACATATTATGGTCAAGAAGCTGCTGATTTAGACTTACCCAGAAAATGGAGAAAACTAAATTTGATGATGGCGTAAAAATTTTGTTTAGCAAATCTTTGATTCATCAATGCTTTTTCTGTTTCCCATAATCTTCAGTCCATGAGAATAGTGTATGTGAGAGTGGATTCATTGTAGATTAGATAGTTCAACTAATAATTCCTAGACAGACGGTGGATAGATGGACAAGTGGATAGCTGGAATGATAAGGAGATAGATATATAGGTATATACATATGAGCCAATCAGGGTAGGCTAAGTCAGAATTTCTCAGCTTCAGCACTTATTCCATTTTGGCTCAGATAATTCCTTGCAATGGGGCACTGTCCTGTGTGTTGTAGGCCTCTACCAGCTAAATTGCAGTAACACTCTCTACAACTTTGTCAAAGAAAATGTTTTCAAAAATTGTAAAAACACTCCTGGAGGGCAAAATCACCTCCAGGTAAGAGCCACTGGACTATTATATATATGCTCTATTAATAAACAAGCCCTAAATCTCAGTGATTTAAAATGATAAAGGTTTATCTCTCATTCATGCTGCATGTGTCCAAAATGGGCCAAGAGGGGCCTCTGCTCATTAGAATCACTCCAGGATCCAGGCTGGTGGAGGCTGCATCTCAACATGGGCTTGCATGGTCTCTGAGGCAGTAGATGAAATGGCTGAAGGGTCAAGCACCAGAATTTAATTGCTTTGGTTCTGAAGTGACACGTGTCTCTTTTACTCAGGTGTCATTGGTCAGAACTGAATCCACAGTTGTACCTAACTTCAAGGGAGTCAGCGCAAGCCCCTGTATATGCGTAGGTAGGAGAGAACTGGATATTGGTGAACCTTACTGATGTTTACCACAGTTCTCTCAAATATAGTAGGAAGCACAATGTATTTTACAAGACTTAAATATTTTATGTAATCATTAATATCATTGCAATACTATAAGTAGTTGAATAATACAGATACAGCTTAGATAATAGCCTTTTCTTCAACGTGAGGTATAAGACAAAACTCATTAGATTTGATGTCAAAGGACCTATATTTTGATTCCAGTTCATCTGCGTCAAGGCTCACAATGTACATGAAACTTAATTTCATCTGGTTTAAAATAAGAATACTTTCTGTTCTGCCTACTTAAACTATGGTTGTAAGAATTAAGT